TCAGTTCAAGTTTATTCTTATTTCGGTCTTTGGTCCGGTCCAGTTCGATCCAGTTCTGGACCGATGAACAACCCTAATCGTGGGTAATTGGCGACTGATTCTCCTCCCACCATTGACGCACATCAAGCCAATGATGCATATAATGTAGGACGACACAGTTTAAATACCATGTACGTAATAAACTCAACCTATAAATAGGAGATGGAATATATATCCATTGTAATTCAAACTAAATTAAGCTAGTACAATTGTACAAGTCTTACTGAAATTATATTTTCTGAGATTTTATCATTATTTCAAGCTCTTCGTGCTTCAACGTAGTGTGAAGCTTTGAACATCAACACTATGTTTGGTTCAAGAAATTTGGAAGGAAAAGAAAAGAAAATGGGTTTCTCTCATTTTCCTCACCAAAATGGGAGGAATTTGATTCTCCCCCACTTGGTAAATTTTGTCTTCTCATTTTCTTTTCCTTCCACTTTTCCTTTCTTTTCCCCTATAACCAAACATGAAAAACTATTTTACACTTCATTTTCTTTTCTTTTCCCTTTCAAATTCCTTGAACCAAACATAATGCAAAAGTGTTATTTAATATTTCGAACCAAATAAGACACTAGGTACTCCCTCCGTTCCTAAATTGATTACAATTTTTTTTTTTCTCCTCTCGATAACTTTTGTTTGTTTACGCGATTTTATTAAGTATTTAATAAAATAAAATATTCTTGTCACCTCTTGTTTTGTAGAACTTTTGACGTAGTTTTTAATATGTAATTCTTATATCTTATTGATATATCAATTTGTAAATAAAATGATTTCAAAAAGTAGAAAATTTTACTCCGTAACCCGCAATTTGTAATCCAAATTATTGGAATAATAATATTGCTCCTTTAAATTATGAAGTACATGATAGAGTATATATATAGGAGAGACTCCTAAGACAACTAGGAATAGAAAAGGGAAACTAAATAACATACAACATCTACTACAAATAGGAATAGGAAGTTGACTAATAATCAAACACTACCATTACCAATACTACCAGAAGTAATATTAGTTTTATTGTTTTAAAGGAGCAATATTATTATTTCAATATTTCAAAAAAATCAAAGTAGCAATATTATTATTCCAATATTTTGACACATACATTCCCCATTCGAAGAACCGTTCCCATACGAGCAGCTTACTCATTTTAACTCATTTTAATTGAATGATGTTGAGTTTCGAACCCGTGACGTCATAGTCAATAAGGGTCTGATACCATGTCAATGAACCAACTCAACCAAAAGCTTAAGATTGTGGTTGTGACCCAGGAACAGTTATTTATATTTTTAACACCTCACATATTAGTTTTTGAACACCTCACAAAAAGCTTTAAGTTCCGTTTGGTACATGGAATTCAAACTATGGAATTGGAATTGGGGACTTCAATTCCAATTCTGGTGTTTGGTAGCACAAAAATTATGTGGATTTGGAATTGATAGTGCAAAAAATAAATTAGAATTGACAGAATTCAATTCTATTGAATTGAATCTCATGAAATTTCAATTCAATTCCACCAATTTCTTACATCAAACGGACCCTTATAATAAAGAATTAATGATGGTTGGACTGAATCTATTTATTTTAGTTCATTTGTTTCTCCACTTATTGGTTTGTCCTAAACGAATTTTAAGTTAATGATACTGAATAACATAAAAACATAGTGTTTTTTTTCAATGTAATACCATATCTTTTTATTTCGTAATATAGTATCATTGTCTAATGTCCACTGATCATTACTAAAGTAAATGTCTACTGCCACTAGACATTGTTCAAACTAAATGTCTAACATTACTGGACATTGTTTCCGTCTCTAGATATTATTCAAATACTATTTAGTGAATAAAAAAATTTAAGTACTACATTAAGAAAAGACACATTTTTAGTACTATTTAGTGCAAATTTCACCTTTAAGTTATACGATTTGAAATGAAATGACATTTCCTTTCAAACAAAATGCTTTCATCCTAAATTATAAATTCGTTTGTAACTACCCACAAGGTCAAATTTTATTCATTTTCTTTTCGTACTTTTCTCAGTTATTTGATAAAACAATACATGCATGTCACTACTAATTTTGTAGATCTTTTGATGTAATTTTTAAATATGTACAAGTAATTTTTTTTAATATACCATTTTCATATAAAATAATTTGAAATAAATTCAATCAAACATTGTAAATCGAAACAGGTAATCTAAATTTGAAAGGAAAAATAAGAAAAGTTAGAGGAGGATAGGAAGTTAAGAGTCATCATTATCGCCAAGGACTTCTTTCTTGATAGCCTTAGAAGTGTCCTTTACCTTTTCCCACGTTCCTTTCTCTTCTTCTTCTTCTTCCCCTTCTGCTGCTTTCTCTATTGCCTTCTCCGCCACTGCTTTCACTGCCTGCTATATATAAAATATTTATATTAATTTAATACGGTATGTACCATTTCTAATTAATTCGATTAATTAATTATTGCCATCACATTCAACAATGACGTTGACTTGAAACAAGTATTTGTATGTGAGGTTGACACCATACAAAAATGCACAATCCCACGTTAATCATCTGTTTTGTTCACTAGCTGAGTCCAACTCAATTGAGAAATCATTGTTCAAACAATGAAGGTGTCACCGGTGGTGTAAAACAAACATAGACAAAAATATTTTATACGGAGTATGTTTTTTTTTGTATGCAAGGTGGGCCAAATATAGACGCTCGTTCGTGCACATTTGCGCGGTAAGCCCAGCACACAAGGGACTATGAATCGATTCTCGATAGGAGCTCACAACACGGCCATTACATGCGTGACACTATTTGTGATTTTGTTCTCGCGGGCAAAAACTACTCACGTATGTGAGCGGGGTGGCTAGCTAATTGTGGTGGCGATTGTTGGACCAATCTTGACATTCAGTAATAGTTAGCGGGTTTATTTTGTAATTATGTTGAAGTCTTTATTTGTTAATAATTAGGGTAGAGTCAGTCATAATTTTAGGAGATATATCTCATATGGATTTGAGATTATCATAGCTTGTAGGAGTAGGAGATGTTATGCTTGGAGAGCAAGGCTGATGATTTAACTTGGTGGACAAGGTTAACTCATCTATAAATAGGGATAGTTTCTCTGTATTTTATGCATAAAAAGTTTTTCAATTAATTGGAGAAGGATTTCCAATAAGTTCTTGTTCTAGATTTCTGTTTTCTGTTTATCGAGATCTGGTACCAATAACTTCAATTGGTATCGGAGCTGAGTTCGAAGGGCCTGAAACTCTCCTGATCCAAAAGGGCTGGATCAATTACCAGATCCGAAGACAGGGCAGAAGTACAAGCGTCGATCTAAGAACAATACGATGGCTGATGCCAACAACCAGGTTGCGGTAATCAAGGATAACAACAAGCTTCCATTCCAGTGTCCGATCCTAACCGCGACTAATTATCCCATCTGGTCGCTTAGGATCAAAGCAATTTTCAAGGCGTACGAAATCTGGGAATCGATTGATCCTGGAACAGATGTCGATCGGAAAAAGGATAATTCCGCTATCGCATATTTGTACCAGGC